ACGACGAGGTCACGGGCTCGGTGAAGAGCGAGCGGGTGGGTGGCGGCGCCCCGGGCGCGGGGAGGGCGGCTCTGGCCGGGGGCGCGGCGCGGCGCCTATTGAGCGGCCGTTGTTTCCCCCCTGTGCTTGCAGAGGAACCTCCTGGAGGAAGACTCGGATGAGGAGGAAGATTTCTTCTTGTGAGTGGGCGCTGCTGGGAGGGGGTCTCGCCTGAAGGCTGGGGCCGGAGCGGGGCCTGTCCGGTGTGACCCACACCAGTGGGGCACCCCCGGCGCTGAGACACGGGGGCGAGTGGGAGGGATAACGCAAATCCCCAGCACGCAGCTCTTAGACTGCTGGTTTAAATGTTTGGTTCTGTTGTATCTTCTGTTATTACCCCTCTCTCTCCTGCGTACAGGAGAGGGCCTTCTGGACCAAGGTTTGGACCCAGGAATGACAAAATCAGGCAGTAAGTTCTTGTTCCCCTGTGTCCCTTGACTATTTTGTTCTGGCCCTGCAAGCTCCTGCTGCTCCCTTTAGCAGAGTGTGTCTATGCAGCCCTGGGGCTGAGCATGGCTTGAGCGAGTCTCTCCTTGTGTTTTTCTGAGTAAGTCTCCCCTTGTTGTGGTTTTCTGCCCTACCCACCTTCAGCTAAGGGAAGTCTCAAGATGGATTGAAACCCAAGGAATTGTGCATTAATGCAGGTAAAGGGATAGGACTGCAGCACGGGAGCACTGAGGAGCTTCCAAAGCCCATGCTGTGCTCTGGTGATAGACTATTTCATGCTTTTACCAATTTCTCTATTTTTGAGCTAGCTTACTGCTCACGTACCCTTTAATTTTATTGTTTCAATGCTTATTCCTATACTCTGTGACTCCCTGTTCAGTTTTCCAAGAAAACAAGTGGTCAGTAATAGGTGAGGACCATTTTTTTTTTCAGGCAGCTGCTGGCCTTCTGGCTTCCTATTTTCTCCGTGAAAACTTTATCTGGGTGAACTGGAGATGAGCAGTGATTCACTGGCATCAAAGCAGGTGCACAAACAGGAAACCATTAACTTGGGAGAAGGATTATTGGCTGTAACAGGGCAAGACAGGAGCAGCAGACAGCCTGGAAATAGGGCATGAAGGAAGGAACACCCTGGATCCTTCCCCTAGCGAGTCATTTCCTGGATGGTGCTTGTCATGAGCTCCAGTTGGGCCCATGGTTTCCTGTTAGGGATGCGTTACTGCTACTTGATGGAAAGGACAGAATTCGCAGGGGCATGCCCTGGGTTGCTGAAATTTGCTTTTGCTGGTTTCCCTTCCCTGCAAAGTGCAGAGTCAAAACAGAGATCCAAACAGATTGCTCATTTTGCTTGCTGCCTCCAAGTCGCTCTTCATGGGGGTATCTTTTGTTTCGTGCTGGGAAGAAGCCAGTACAGCCCTGAGATGCCTCGCTGCCAATGTCAGCTACAGGCGCCTGCTTATCCTGCACCTTGAATCACCAGGTGCACTTGAGCTGCAGAGGGCTCAGGGTGCCGGTCACCCTGCCCCGAGTTTACCGGGGGGTTCTGCCCCCTCCCGGTGCCGGGATGCTGATGCCAGACCCACTGTTAGGGCAAGCTGGTGAGGAGAGAGCTTCCCCTCTAGTGCAGCGCCACCCTGGCCTCAAATAAATGAAAATAAATAACTGCTGTCATTGAGTGGCTCCCCCACGCCCCAGCGAAGTGTAATGACTAACCCTCAGTCTTCCTTTCCTGGAATAAGAATTCTTTTTTAGGGTAGAGAGGTTGTGGGAGTTGGTGGGAGTGGAAGAGTGTATTTTCCAGGAGGTGAAGGATAATGCAGCGACTGTGAAGAGGAAGCGAACTGAAAGAAGGATTAATCCGGGAGCTGGTGGGTTGTATAGCTAGCTCATAGGTATGGAGTGACTAATGCCCAACACGTATGTGCCAGAGGTTGCCTCTCCAGCCATATAATTGCCTGGACCCAATATGAGGAATGTCCTTTACTAACCCTTCCCTTAGGGGAGCTAGTGGTTGCATTTATTTAGACTCTCCAGGCCATGTGCAGTGGAATCTTTTCTGCCTTCATCAGTGGTGACTGCTCTGTTCAGTGAGCACTTGCTCTGTGTTGGAGTCACTTCTTGTCCAGTAGCTTTTTATTACAATTGTGATCAGCCAGTTGTGCTGGGTGGGGTGATGCCTGGGCGCGTAATGGTACAGATCTCTCTTGTTTCATCAGAACTGGGTTGTTGATGAAGTGCTGTAAAGACAAGAGATTCCAAGGAGGAATTTGAGTATATGAAGAGCTCAGGCACAGCTGGGTGAAGCTATAGAAAATTGGGCTGTGCAAGGCTGGAGGGAGCAACATGTAAAGACAGGAATAAAGGATACGAGGGTGAGAACTGGGTGGAGAAAGAGGTCATGGGAGTGAAGGAGTGGAGCATATGGGAAATGACAGGTAAGACTGAAAAGTTTTACTTGCTGTCCTTGACATCAAAGGGACCTGGGTCAGCATGAAGAATCTGGAGCAGAGACCCTCAGGGATGGCTTGATTGCAGGAAGAGATTGTTGGGAATACTACAAACTTTGGAGGGAAAAGAGAAGGGCTAGAGCCAGTGATAATGGTGGGAAGAAGTGTGACAGTTCCCTCTGTGCTGGTATGTCTGCATGTTCAGGCTCTGTTGTCCCAACAGGTACTTGGTTGGAGTGGAAGCTCCTGTGTAACTAAGGGGGGTCCCTTAGTCTTTCTCTGATGTGTCTCCCCATTCCCAGGGCTGTTTAGTTGGAGCTGAAAGTTATCTTTCCCCAAAGTTACAGCAACAAGTAAAAGAAGAACTGGTCACTCTGCTGCTGCTGTCAGGCCCTGCCAAAGGGCCTGACTGCAGTGAAAGCTGTCAGTGCCTTTGCTGGAGAAGTGGGAAGTCTATCCTCCACCTGAGCTCCTTTCCTGTAGAATAGGAGCCCCTCCTCACAGGTCATGGTCTCCACGCTGCTACCAGAATCCCTCTTTTCTGTTGCTGCTTGGGTTCCTGGAGAGCATGTTCTCTTCTGCCGCTTCCACTCCTGGCACTCTGCGCTGCACCTAGAGTTCAGTCTTGGTCCTTGCAGCTTCTTTAGTCCTTGCCACTGCTTGGGCTGCCCCATACACCCAGCCCGAGCTCCACAGGCTCTGGGAACAGCCCCAGGTTACTGAGGAGGAGGAGGAATTTGGGGAATGGCTCAAAGGCAAGAACTGATAGTTGATTCCCAGGCCCTGGCCACTGCTCTTGGAAAGACGGGTGTGCTGCAGACCCTGTTGTCCAGGCTTTCGTAGAGAAATGATGCCAAGACCTATTTGCCAGTGAGGCATAAACTGTTTTGTTCCTCACAGCTGTGTTGAAGCAGCAGCTAGGGATGCACGATGGTGGCAGAGCTCAGCGCTGATGCCCCGTGGCCGAGCTCAGCAGAGGCGCCCGCAGGGCTGTGCTGCTCCCGCTGTAGCTGCGCCAGCCGAGCAGTTGGCTCTGTCTCCTGTTCCCTTTTTCCTGGATTACTGCCACCACGAGGGGTGTTTAGGAGTAATTTTCCCCAAAATACACATAGCACTAATAGTACCCACGTGTAGCCTGGTGTGGAAAATAGAAGCGTGTCATGCTGGTTGCAAACAGCCAGCTTGGAGATAGCAGTGAGCTGTAGCAGCAGGTCCTGCGGGCTGTGCGTGGGCTGGTCGCGGTGTCTGAAGCATGTGGCACTGTTGTTAACACTGCAGTGTCACCGGTGCTTGGAGTTTCTCGGCAGCTAACCCAGCGGGGCTGAAATGGGCTGATTCCTCCTGCTCTGACCCAGGCAAGGCACGTGAGAGCCGAGATGAAATGAAGTCAAACAGCAGTGCATCTCCTGTTGCTGCTTTAATAGATGTGCAGGTAAATGCAGCACATCTGCACTGGTTAGTATGAAGCAGGACTTACGGGAGATATATTTTTTACTTTTCCCTTACTGCCTTTCCTGGCAAGTGTTTATTCCACTTTCTTTGGAAATCTGGCAGAGTAGGGAGATGCAGGAGTGAAATACGTGAAATGTGTATCTCAGAAGCCAAACGGCTCCTTACAGCAAGTGTGCTTATTAGAATATTCATCCTTCCCTGCCAAATAAAAGGAAGAAATGTTTTTTTCCTGATGTGACTTGAGTTTCCAACCAGAAGCATGCAGTGCTAGTGGGAATTGAGTTTGCTCTCAGCCTGCAGGACTAATGCACTGATCTTTCAGCCCCTTCACAGAGAGGCATTTTTACAGGAGTGATGGATGGGGGGAGTGAACAGAAAGTGTGGTCTGGTTACTGGTGGCTGAGGCACTCTGTGGAGTGGACACAGGTACAGGAGCTCCTTTCTGCTTGTTCTCAGGTTCTCCGTTTGGTCAGATACCAAAGTGTTTTGGGGTGCTCAAATGACTCTGCTTTCAGTGGGAGTAAAACGGCCCCGCTCTCATTGGCATCAATGAGAGTTTGGGCCTTGATTCTGTGCAGCTCCAGTGAGAAGCGGCAGGATGCTGAGTTGCAGCCTGCACCGTTTGGCCTAAGCTCCATGGGGTCTTCTAAATACGGCACGCAGCAGAGCAGCTTCCAGCTACCCCCTGGTCCCAGTCTTCCCACTAATGTTTCGAGGTGCCTTGGGCTCCAGGAGCGTTGCTGCAGCTCCAGGCGGTGCTGGCTGGCGCCCAGCAGCGCCGCGTTGCGCCGATGCTCCTGTGCGTGTGGTATCCTCTGTGTGTTAGTCACCCCAAGAAACTGGGTTACAAATCCACTGCAGGAGGAAGTCTTTCTTTTGGAGCCAGTAAATGGTTTTAGAAATATTTGCATCCTGAAAATGTAGTTTTCTGCCTATTAACTCCAAGACTTTTTTTTTTTTTCTTTTTTTTTTCTTTTTTCTTTTTTCTTTTTTTTTTTGCAAAGTTAGCTCATGTGGGAAAGCAGATGTTTCTGTTTTTCCTTGCTCGTAGCAGAGTTGCCTGTGGTTCTCAGCTTGACTTGTCCATTGTGCCTAGGTACAGAGATTCCCTATCAGCATGTTCCTCCTTTCCACCAAGGCCGGTGGGAGGGGACACAAGGCCTCCTACATCCAGCACCTTCATCCATCCAGCTGGAGGGCAGCCACAGGCTGCTGCTTCGGAGCTCCCTTCGCTTTCTGCGTGCGCTGGATTCGGGCGCTTCTGTCACTCTCCTCTTACTTTAAAGAGCAAACAGTGGATCAAAAAGGTTTCATGGTCATGAGACAGGTTTCTGCTGAGAAATGTCTGGGGGTTACCCAGGCCTTTCCCCATCCAGGAGAGAAACTCCTGGCAAGTGACTGCCTGCTTCCCAAGCAGGAAGGCCCCTCCATATTGTGTTCCCAGTGTTTGAGAAGGGAAAGAAAACCTTTCTTCTAGTGGTTTTCCTTGCTTGCTTTGGAGTAAGTGTGTCTGTGGAGGGCATCAGTGTTCACACTGAAACCACTCTTGGTTACTGCAGCCGCTGCTCGAGTGTTACCTTGGGGCTGGTGTCTGCCTGGGGAGAGGCTGCAAGGGAGGCAGGCGAACTCGGCTGGTATGAGCCAGAAGGAGGAGATGCTCTTTACCTACAGGCGTGTGGCTCACGCGTGTTGGTGTCAGCCTCCTGCAGAGACCCCGATTTGGCAAATAGCATCAAATAGCATCACCACCTGTGAGATGCTGATGGGGAAGAGGAGATTCTCTGTGGGTTCAAGGAGGGTGAAGAGATTATATTGCCAGATAATCTGGGGAGCAGGACAGGGTAGATGATGTGCAGGTGATGAGGTGGTAGCAACCCTTCCTTCCCTTGGGGATGACAGTTGTGCACTGTTACTAGGAGGTGCCTATTTCTGGTAGCACAGGAACTGCCAGAGTGGCCTAGCCACGCTACGGGTTTTGTAATGCTAGAGGAATTTCAGTATTTTTAAAATGCTTAAATGTGTTTGATCAATGCAACTTAAGAAGTCAGACATCAGACTTTACGCAGCATGAGTGTCCCAGGGTTATTTCTGTTTTGTTACCCTGTGCACAGCGTTGCCTCCAAGACATTGCCGCTGCCATTTACCTTCTGAGCCTCGTACGTCTCAAACAATGTTGTCTCCCTAGGGCCCAAGAAATTTCTTACTTATTTTCCTGGAGATGAAATGTTTTTAGCTCCAAAATACAAACCAGAATGTAGCAGTATTTTTCCATCAGAAGAATTCTTCTCTCAAGAAGAATGGCTTTTTTATGGAGTGAATAAATACATTTATAATAACCTTGCGGGTGTGATTTTTAGGCTACTGTTCACTGAAATGACTACCCACAGCATTGCATAACCTGCAAGAAGTTGGATTATAATAGTCCAGTTTGGTTTATTTTAACTGTTCCTTTACTGTCATTTTGATATGAAGTGACACGGAGTCTGCCAGGAGCATACTGCTTTCTGGAGGAGGGAGCACATCTCCCTGCAGTTTTGCTGCGAGTTGTTTAGCCCTGCACCACGCTCACCAGGAGACACAAGCCGCTAGCGTTCTCAGCAAGCTCCCTCTGCTCTTGTGCCCTTTGGTCTCAACTCCCTGCATCCTGGCAGCTTGGGCAGCTCTGCGTGAGGGCTTGCGCTGCAATGTGCAGTCTGTGTCCTTGCTTCCTGCCCCTCACTCTGGCTTTGCTTTGCTCCAGTGTCCAGAACCAGGTGGATGAAGTCATTGATGTTATGCAGGAGAACATCACGAAGGTGATTGAGAGAGGCGAGCGGCTGGATGACCTGCAAGACAAATCAGGTGTGATGCCAAATGCAGTTTCCCTGTCTGCCCATCCTTTTTCTTGCATCTCTTCCCCATTTACTGGGCTGGGTTGCCAGCTTCCAAATCGAGAGTGCCTAGTGGTGGACTTGGCCCCACTCCATGAGGGCTCGTAGTTCCAGCCTTCCTAAGAATGGTGTTTCCCAGCCCTGAGCTATGCAGATCTAACTTTCTGGTACCTGCAAGTGGCTGGTTGATGTCTCACCTTGGTTTGGTCACTAAGCAGCCCCAATTTCCTTGGGAAAAGATCCCTCCTCTGTCACTGCAGTTGCTCTTCAACCTTCTCCTGTGTATGCAGCTGGTATTGGGCTGTCCCAATTCACGTGTGGTCTCAATACAGCCCAATGTCCTGTTAATGCAGTGATATGAGACCAATCTTGTAAGAGATCTGGGTATGTAAATGCCAAGGGCTTAGTTTAGAGGCATTTGGATGCCATGATCTAGGTGGCTGTTGAGACAGCTTAGATGGGCCTGACTCAAAATGGCCCTGAGTAGTTCAGCTGTCTGCTCTGTGGCTTGCAAAGCGCAGTCCTTGCTCAGAGGCAGCCAGGGCAAAGGGGGCTTGCTGGGGCTCTGCAGCTCCCAGAACCTGCCATGGCTTTGGAGATTTGCACTATGGTTGGATCTCTTCCCCTATTGCCAAGTTTTTTGCTTGAAACTAAAAGGAGTTGGGGGAACAAGTGGATGCTTTGTGTGTGTGCTGCTGAATAGTCTCTCTCCTTTCCTTCTCGACAGAAAGTTTATCAGACAATGCAACTGCTTTTAGTAATAGAGCCAAGCAGCTTCGAAGACAGATGTGGTGGCGAGGTTGCAAGGTGAGTGAGAACTGGAGTACACAGGACTAGACTTCACCATGAAGATCCTTCAGCCCTGGGCTGAACAACAGGGTCACTTTGGGTGCCAAGAGTACAAGGGAGCAAATAAAGTGTAGGAAGTGCCTGTCCTGTGGGTTTGCCTGTAACAACATGAACAAGGGAAGGCTCAGGGTTGGAGGTGCCCCTAGAGCTGGTGTGGGAACTTGACATGGGAGCTGGCAGGAGGCAGCGCTCCTGCTCAGTCCTTGAGGGTGTTGTGGTCCAGTGAGTAGTTGGCTGCTAGCCCTGTTTGAGGCGGGGGAGAGATGCTCTGCTCCTGCTTTGGGCAGGATGATTTGAAGCTGGCCTGCAGGCTGGAGGCTAAAGGCCTCGTGGTGTGCCCTGTAACCTGTCTTCCTCCTCCTCCTTGCAGATGAAGGCGGTCATAGCCCTGGTGACAGTCATTCTCCTGCTTGTGATCATCAGTGAGTACCTTCAAGTCACCCCAGCTGTGTTTGGCATTGAAATATTCACGGCACTGTTCCTCACACATGATGCTGTGGTGTCAGTGTCCTCTGGAGAGAAAACAACGGAGCTGTTCCTGTTGGGAATGTGCTGTCCTGCTGTGTGAAGCAGTAAGATGTGGTGTCTGCAGCCTACACGGTGCTTCTGCTCTGCAGAGTTTTAAATGTGTGCACAGAGGAGGTGGATCCAATCACATCCTGCTGTTACTAAAGAGGGAAGGGTCAATACAGCCAAAGCTGCAGTGATCCCAGGTTAGCACCAGCTGACGCAGAGGCTGTGTGGCTTGTAGAGGGACACGGGAGAGTTTCAGACCACAGCGATGTCTTCAAGGGTGTCTCCTCACGCAAACCATGTTGCAAGGAGCCTGCTGGAGTTCAGCACGGATACTTTGCTCTTGCTTGCTGCAAGTTGGTCCTTTCCTGCTTCTCTGGCTGAATATGTAGTAATGGCCAGACAGTGTTTCTTCCCGGCAGGGAAGTAATTCAGCCCTCTGACTGTTGAGCAACATGTTCCAAGGAGGCCAGCGGTAGGAGAGCAGCTTTTCTGGACCTGTGGTCCTGGAAGGGACCTTTTCTCCCATGAGCTCTGCCATGCTGCCCTTCAGCAAAAGCAGCATGGCCTGTTGTCCTGTTGTTGGTGCACAGCTGGGAGCAGAAGTCACAGAGCTGACAGCAGGGTGGGAGCACTGTGGAGAGACAGGCTGATGGAAAATCCCATCTGGTTTCAGTTGGGGAAGCTGGAAGGAGATGAAGGTGGCAGGGAGTGTTGTCTGGTGTGTGCAGGGAGCAGATTGTGCTGGCTTGAGCTTGCAGACATGCTCTACCTTACAGCTGCTTGCTGTTTGTGACTGAAGAAATGTGGGGTTTCCTCACTGACAGTGATTGCTGCTGTGTTCGAGGCATGTGCTGAATATTTTTATGTCTTTTTCAGTACCCATAGTCCTGAAGTACCGTTCCTGACTGGGCAGCTGGAGGCTTCAGTGGAGCTGGCTCTGGGATAACCAAACTGCTGTGTAATTTAAGTGAAATATCTGTATATAGATTCCAAGTTGTTTTCCTCAAAGGAGAAGGCAGTGGCAAGTAGCCATTCCTAACAGAGCATTCTGAGAACTGCCAAATGACCCTTTTTTTTGGTCGAGAACCTGCTGTTGTTAGGCCTCTTTTATAGCAGAAGATCTAGTTCCCAAACTACCCATTTTGCAGAATTCTGTGTCTCTGTTTTGGATCTAGCTACTTGCCATTAGTACTTACCTGTATATACGGTTAAGTTGTAGCGATACAGTCTGAGCAATTTCCCACTACCTGCACTGGAGGGCGGAGCGGACTCTGTCCTTTCTTCAGAGCAATGGAGGGGAAATGTCTAAAGAGAAATGTACCATCATGTTACTGACCCTTCTGTGAGGAACTGTAAGGGTGGTGGTTTTCTCATGTTCAAAAAAAGAAAAACAGAAAAGTAATTAGGTGTTACAAGCTAGAAGACTTTCTGATCCTGCCGTGAGAATGCATAAGCTCAGTGTTTTCAGTATCGCTGCTTATAGCCTGTGACTAAAGACATTCCAGTAAACCTATTTTTGACTGTATGTGTGGAATTCCTGCATGTCTTCATAGTGTTTGGGGGGAGAGAGGAGGTGCTTTGGGAACTCCCTACTGCCAGGGATCCCTGGGAAAGGGCTTTTAGTGTTCTTGTAGAAAAAGAAATGAGAAGAGTATGTTAAAGCCCAGATCTCTAGACAGCCAATGATAAGGAGACTCAGCACAAGTATGGCAACTCTCATGCTCCTTCACCTTGCTGTGGTTGTCACGGACCTGAATGATCCTCCTGATTTGTGGGACAGAGGGTTGTGCCCTGACAGAAAAGCGGAATTGGTTCCTCCACCTGCAGGTGGGTCTGATGCAGAGGCCAGGGAAAGGGGGGCACTGGGTGCACGAGCTGTGCTACTCTCAGTCCAGGCACAATCCTGAGGGGGGAAATGGTGCCCTGGAGAATCCCAGTGGTGCCTCCTGGCCTGAGCCTGCCTCCAGAATCTTGTGTGCAGTTTCCACCTGAGCGGTGCTGCTGCTTCATGCAGAGAAGGGGATTAATAGTGAGCACAGCAGGCTGTTAGATCTGATTACAAGCTCCACTTGCCCTGCTGGTGAGTACATGGGGCTTTCCCCTTTGTGGGCCCTGTTGGCTCCAGGAGGGAATCAGAAAGCCAAGCTGGGTTTTTCCTCCTAGCATGGAGCCAGGTTTTAAGATCCTGAAGGCAAAATAATGCACTCAGTGAAGGGATAAAAATCACTTTGCTTATGCCTCTGGCTGTGCTCCACCTGTTAGAGATTAAGAGGGTAAACAGAGTGACTGATTTTCAGAGGAGATGCAGGTGTCTGGGGGGTCTCGAGCCTTCTCCTGCCAGATGACTTAGAGAATGAGCTAGAAGCAGTCCAAGTGCCTGTACTGCCTGTGCTGCCCTTAAGGGCTGGCTTTACTCCTGCTGCTAGAGAGTCCTGCCAACACCACTGGTGTCAGATGCTGCTGGAGAAGGAACAAGAAGGTGCAACTTGGGGGAGCCACCAAAGCTGCCTCTGCAGAGCCCTGGCCTTGCAGGGCCTGATAGATCTTTGCCAGCAGCATCGTCCTAGGGAGTTGGCAGTAATGTTAAGCAGTGCCCCACTGCAGATGTACAATCCTGGGGAAGGCTGTCATTAGCAGCATTCTGGCTGCTTAGAGGAGAAATGCAAGTTTTTCAACTGAACTGCTAAAATCCAGGGAAAAAGAGGCAGCAAGGTTACCTTCCCTTTCCCTAGCTTGCATGGAGTGTGCTTCTAGCTCTGCTCTGAGCTGCATACCATGTCTCATGGCAGCTGTGTCCCCTGCCCCGGCCTGGGGTTGCACAGCTTGCTGGCTGTGTGGGTGATGTGGTGCTGCTTGGATGCAGTTGCCCAACCTGGGGAGGCCCTGGAGATGTGGGTGCTCCCTTCAAGGAGCCAACCTGAGCCCAGACCTTGGGAGCAGGGCAGCCCTTCCCCACGGTGCCCAGCCACAGCTGTCATACCAGCTGAAGGAAGGTGAGCCCTGGCCTCAGGCTCTCCTTCAGTGGTGGCCACGGGTACTTTGAGCATTTGTCAAGGCTGGGAAGGGGTTTTTCTGCTGGGCTCATCCCAGAGCAGTGCTGAGGGATGGATATCCCCTTTTGCCACCCCAGGCAGCCTACAGCTGAGTGGGGCTGGCTTTTCAGAGAGAGGTGTGTGTTTTCTGCACTGACGCCTTGCGCTTTCATGGCTGGAGCAGCTCCTGTCTAGGAGCTGCTGGCACCAGTAGGCTTTGCCCAGAAAACATGGCTTTGCTGTGGAAAGCAAGTGCTAAAGTAAACAGCTTTAATGGTTGGTTTTAATGGGGAGTGTTTTAGGACCACCTGGGCCTTGTTTCTGCACCTACCTGCTCCCTTGGATGCGTGCTCTGATACTGGAGGAACTGGACCACTGCAGATCGCTGAGCTCCAAGAGCAGGATCATGGCCTGGTTCAGCTGCTTTCCTCGACAGGGAGGGCTGTGCAAGTGTTTTTGCAGTACCTCCCAGGAGGCCGGGGTGCTAACGTCTGTGCTTGCTACGAAAGGCAAGAAGAGCCGCTGAGGCCAAAGACCAGGCACTGCCCTTTATGCCCCTCCGAGTTGCCAGCAGTCTTTTTCATGGTTTTAGGACCAAGTTGCTGAACACCCGGTTGCTCTGAGCATCTGGCCCTTTCTGGGATGCCAGCTCTGGCTGGGAAGTGGACCTGAGAGTCCCACTATCTGATCCCTGGTGTGTTTTAGAGGGGTTCTTCACGTGCTTCTTAGCCCTACTTTGGCCTTTATAACTCCTGGGGTCCCATCGTGGAGCGATCGGCAGGAGAACAGCAGTGCCTGGAAAAGGGTCGTCATTCACAGCAGTGCTAGGGAGACGCTGGCTGTGTGCCTTGGGGCTGTGTTTCATTTTGATGTTGTGAAGGAGATTTTGCAACAAAAACAACTCCTCCACTCAAGCGTAGGGTCTGTTTTCTTCATTCCCTCCTTGAGCAGAAGATGGATCTCTTCATTAGTGGCTCTTTTCCATGGGGCAGCATTTTACAAGGAACGGCATGTTTTGGCGGGAGTCAGCGCGCTCCTCAGCCAGGGTTGGTTCCTCGTGCCAAGCTGTGACCAGCATCTCGGGACCCCTCATGCTGCAGTACAGAAGATGCAGGGGTCTGTGGTGGTCCCAGGAGCAAGGAGGAAGGCTTCCCCTCCTCATCCCTGGCACTGGGACCAGCTGGGACACAATGGGGGTGGCCAGGAGGTGACGAAGGGGAAAGACTCCCCTGGGATCTGGGTGTAAACAGCAGCAGTGCTCCGAGCATGTCCAGCTTCACCCCCTTTGATTGCCGCCTCCTTCCCCCGGGCTTCCCAAACGCCACAGCTGCCTTCCCAGCCGCAGCCTCCTGGGGCGGCTCCGCGAGAGCGTGGAGGCGCCAGGAAACTCGCCGTCACCGGCCCCGAGGAGTAAACAGGGCGGGCGCCCAGCGGCGCCCAGGTGCTCGAGCGCGGGAGC